ATCTAATAAGAAATTAGCAATAAACAAATTGCTGATTAATGTCCAAATTATATTCATTTTTAAACTCTTATTTTCTAAGACATATTAAGGCATTAAGAAATAAGGCTGTTTATGTATAAGTCCGACTAATAAACGTTAAATGGTGATTTTTCTAAACGTGTTATAGATATAAATGTCACATTTTAAATAAAATCTATGCTATATTTTTCAAATTATATCATAAAAATATTGTATAACAATCAGATTATTTTATATACTTAATATCTACGATCACATTTTTGGACGGATTGCATTAATTCAATGCATGTAAATATTTTATATAGTTATTCTCCTAAAAGTTCCTCGATATCGTCTTCTTTATCAGAATTTTCTTCCCGTTGAATTTTCATTTTATACCCAAGTGCTTCTAATACATCGACATTGAAATAATAAGCCAAATTTATGCCTGGTATTAAACGCTTTAATTCTTCTATACTAGCACGTGCTTTATCTGTATCGCCAATATTAATATAATGTTGAGTAATAGTCGCAAATAAATCGCCACGACGAACTGATTGTTCCAAATCTGGTCCTTGAGAATCGAGTAATTGATGCACTTGTTGCATTGCCGCAGCAGTTTCGCCTCTATCAAACAACCTATATAATAATAATTAATAATACTTCATTAATCATAATTTTAATTTCTTTTGCTATATATAAAATAAACTAATACTTTACTTTTTAATATCTAAATAACGTCTGACCACTGCTATCCTATTGTTCACTAAATCTACCGCTCTTTTATGAATATCGAGATCTCTTGGATTTACTACTTTTGCCAAACACCTATTTGCTTGATTCAGAGCATCGAGAGCTTTTTCGTAATTTTGAAACTCGTCAATTTCTACTTGTGCACAAGCAACGTAAAAATTGGCCAGTAAATCCATTGCTTTCCCCTTAGAATAAAAATTAATAATATTTTTTAGTACTTCTGGTTGATTTTGCCAATCTAATGATTGCAAATAATTCCCAGCCATGATATAGATCTCTCTTTGTCTAGAAACTTGAGCGAAGAAACAAATCTTTTCGGTATCACCAGATTTTAATAAGGCTTTCATAGCTCTCAATTTGTTACCAGCTTGAGTAAATTTTTTTGTTGCCAAATGATAATTTCCTTGCTCGAACGCTATTTCACCTATTCTTTCTAATATAGATATTCGCATTTTTTCATGATCTACGTCATTATCAACTTTATCCAAAGTCATTTTTTCAGCTAAATCTTCGCTTAGCAGAATATTGTATTTCTGTATTAATTCCAAAGCTTCCAAATATTTTCTTCCAGTTGCAAGTAGATCTACTGCTTTTTCAATCTGATCATTTTGAACGAAATAATCAGCACATTTTATTATCAAAGCAGGATCAGAATCCGCATTAACATCCATAATAATTAATTGTAAAGCACTATATTGTTTCGTTTTAAAGGCAATATCTAGTGCTTTATGTAATAAACCAGCTTTATGATACAACAAAACCGCTTTATCTGATTGATCATTTTCTTCATAATATTTCGCAACATCTATCTGTGATTGTCTTGAAGCTAATACAGCTAAAGGCCATAATTCCTCGAACATATCATGTTCTTTGCATAATCGAATTGCATTTGTATAAGCCTTGGCAATAGTATAAAAATGAATAGCTTGAGGTATATTATTTTTTGACTCGTAATGTGCCGCTAAATGATATGCAGATGCAGCATGATTTGTTCGTGATACTAATTCACTAACTTCATTTTCTTTATCAAAATAACAAAGCAATCTGGTCATTGCAAGAGTATTTTTAGCTTGCTCGTACAATTTCAATGCCCCTTCCATGTCGCCAGTTGATTCTATATATTGTGCATGCCAATTTTTAATTTCCGGATCGTCGGAATTATTAAGATATGCCAAAAGTTCTCTAGGTCTCACGAATAACATTCTTGGCACTTCAAATCGATGACAATCTGCCTTGGTATACATTTCTATAGCTTCTGCTATTTTACCTTCTTGTTCAAGAGCTTTAGCATAACTGTAATAACTTGTTTTTTCACAAATTTTATTCTCATTTTTTGCTAATTCTATAGCTTCTTTAAACTTATTACGTGCTTCAAAAAGTTTGCCCAATAAATCTAATCGTTTTGCTTCACGGAAAAGACGTTCAGCGTCATTATATAATCCTAATTCAACTGCTAATATTCCTACTTTGGCTTCCAGGTTTAAACTGTTATCATGAATAGCTTCTCTAAGAGCTCTTGCTGCTCGCGCTTGTTTCATATGGCCCAAACATAAAAGAGCCATGTTTAATTGCTTTGTTTTCACACACATCCTCGCCAAGCTTTTCCAGATACCTTCATTTTTAATAGATTTAATCGATTTAAAAGCTTCTTCCATATTAGCAATACTGATATGAAAGCTGAAATCTAAAACAGCTTTTTTCGTAACAGAATCGCATATACCTAATTCTTCAAAATCCCTCATAAGCAATTTTGTTACTTTACTAGTTCTTTTTATTGTTTTTTCAGAATTTAAAATTATGACGTGTGGAGAATGAACACCTAAAACTCTACAATTTTCATCTTTAATTGGCTTTATATCCTGTACAACAATCCCATGATCTGATGTAGCAAACATTGATACCAAAACCACAGTAGTTTTTAAAATATCATAATCATTTTCATTATTTTGTTTGGAATCTCTTGTCTCTAATCTTTGGGCTCGACATACTAATAATCTAGGATCTTCTATGTCCCAATAATGAGCAGTAACTAATCTTCCTTTGCATTTTATAGATAAATCAATATCATCTTCATCTACATTTTTTGATTCTGCAAAATCAAATTCATGTATTTGATCACTTTCTATATCCCAAACATATAAGATTGAACTTGGCATTAAATTTGTCATTGCAACAGTTATAGATACGCAACGACAATCAGCGTTACATCTTGCTTCAATAATTTCAGCAAAATCAGTAATCGCCTCATAAGTTGCCATTGCTCTGGTATGCAACTTTGCCTCACGTTTGCTTAAATCCCAAATTTTTAAAATACCATTTAAAGATGCAACTGTTAAATATTGCCCAGTCAAATCCATAGTAATTGGTTCACCTTCTTCTGGTAATGTAGGTAACATTTGAATAAGAGTACCCTCCATTGATCGTAATTGTATGACTACAGGAGTAAGAATGATTAAAGTATGATCATAAATTAATAATTTTTCAGTGTCACAATTAAAATTTGCAATTAAAGTAGTATTGAAAGATGTATCAATGTGAATTCTATAGATCACAATTTGTCTACCAGAAGCAACAGCAATATATTCTTTATTAATAGCAACAAATTGCACTTGAATATCAGTTTTTAAAGTGTAATTCATCTCATCAAATTCTATTAGAATTTGAGTAGAACTGAGTTGACTAGCACAAACACCATCATTATATGCAGCGCACATTGCTTGTTGATATAATATAAAAACATTAGTAATACAATTCACTGCAAGAAGTGGATTTCTTAGGAAAGAAGCACCCCATGTAAGCTGTTTTACTGTGCCATGAATGCTACAAGATTCTGGAACATGTGGCCAACCATTTTCATCACAATCTGTTTCAATTTTACGTTTCCAAAAATAAATTGTTCCTAAATTAGTTCCAGCAGCTAAGGTACCTATACAATATTATAATTAATAATTAAATAATATATATATTTCTAGATATGTTGTAAATAAATTGCTACCATTATTTTTACAAAAAGATATGCTTGTGCAAATTTCCTGTGGTGTGGCAATGCTTCCAGTAGATGAATCTGGTGGAGATAACACATAACTATCACCACTATGAAGATCCCAACAACGAACGCCTAATTCTCCTGTAAGAATTGCTAAAGTATTTCCTCCTGCCCAACACATTGCTGGACCAGATCGTAATATATCATATCTACTGCTAAGTTTCACCTATATAAAAAATAGTTTTACAAAATTTATATCATATTATAATGAAGTATTAAAAAAACAAATTTAGTTACTTTTGTCAATTCAGTCAATCGGCCTGTAATAGGATCTGTCTGAAAATGTCCTATATTTAAACCTTCTGTCATAACAATTAGAGAATCTCTAGTTTGATGATGCAATATTAATTGTATTGCAACACCATTCGTATTTAGAATCTCTGTACATTGTCCCTGATTATCAACAAAAAATATCACACCACTAGTAGTTCCAATATAAAAGGCATGATTATCTTTTTGTGTTATAATTGTTGCTGGTGCAGCTGTTCTGGGACGCCAAGAGCTGAATATATCTAATGCTCTTTCATCTCCTCCAATTGCAGCTTTTGCTAAACCACTAAAAATCATAAAAAATTTATAATTAATTCTGTCAATAGAAATATAAAATTAATTTTTATTACTTTATATCCGTTATTGATTTTGGTGGAATGGTCTTGAATACTATTTGTACAAAAGAATCTTTTAGCTCATGATGAAACATCATTAACAATTGACCTCTTGAATCAATTTTCCAACCAACTATGGATCCAGCTGAATCTGCAGATACCAATCTTCCTCCATGTTGACTCCATTGCAAAATTATAATAGGATCACGATGTGGTGTAACTACTAAATTAAATTCAGTGCTACCAGTATCACCTGGCCATATCTAAAAGATAATTTATAAAAATAAATTTTTGCTTCTATCATTTTAAAGCATTCTTATAAGAAATTAAAAGATTGCTGACCTGTAATTCTCCATTTTCCCATCCTGCTGCAAGCCATCGTCTTTCTGGATGCCATCCAAGAGCAGTTACTTGAGCTACGGAATGTCTAGGTGATTCTACATCTTGAGTAGGTTCTCCCTGATCATCATAAATTGTTATAAAACCACCTTTATCCTGAGAATATGCAGCTACAGCTAACAAAGGATAATTAACATGCCAAATTGCATGAGTACTTATTGAAGCTGTTTCTGGATTTTGTACTCGCGTATCGAAATAGAGTGACATTATTTCTTAATTTTATTTTTAATATCATTAATATTAAAAAGATTTTTGTATTCATTAGAAATAAATTTTAATATATTTTTCCAATTACATATCAATTATTTTTTAAATTTATTTAGATAAAAAATATTTATTATATAAAGAATATGATATCATTAAGAAATTTGTTATATATATAAATATTAGAAATTTTAATTAAAAAAAAATTCTGTTACTTGACAACTTAGAACTTAGTTGACAACATGTTGTCATGGCAATATGAACGTCTAACTCCATCTTTTGTTCAAACATCATAAGTAAATATCTAGCACCATCTGTTGTTAATTATTAAAAATACTTAAATACTAGAATCGTTTGAAATATGCTTGTAAATACATATTTTTATATCTTTTATTAAGAAGAAACATAATATACAATTGATATAATTGTAATGTACTATAAACTACGCGATTCACTATTCTATAAACTCGAGTTGAATTTCTTCATATTTAATATTTGATCTTCAAGAATAGTTATTTTCTAAAATTTTTAATTTATGTTAATTCTATATAATATCTTATAATATTATTTTCCTTTTAAATAAAATTTATGATACAATACCATGAGATATTCCTGAGTTTTATTTTCAGAAATTGTTTCTGTTTCTGTTAACAGCGTTTTATACTGTTTTTCTAATGCAGAAACAATATTATCCATTTCATTTTGTTTTTTTATATTCAGAGATGTACATAATTCATTTTTTTGTTTTTGCAGTCGCAAATGTAATGTTTTTATTTCCATATCTTTGTTCTATAATATTATAGATAAAATAGAATTAATTTATAATATTCTAATATCTCGTTTAATTTACCTTAATTATATGTGACAATTTTTTTTCATAATCATTCTCAAGTTTCTCTTTTGATTTTTCGAGTTTTGAAATGGCTTTCTTTAAAGCAAAAACTTGAGACATCAAATCTTGATTTTTTTTTTGAGTTTCATAATCCATTTCAGTCCTCATTTTGTTTAATTCTTCTTTCATCATTGTATATTGCTCAATTACGATTGCCTGCAATTTATCTTCCTGAGAAAAATATAATATATATTTAACAATATGTTTAAATCAATAATCATATTAAAATATTTTATTATTTATAAAAAAAATACATCTTTAATCTTCATTTCCAATTTCATTTCTAAATCATGTATCTTCTTAGACAATAATTCAATTTCTTCTTTTCTTTGTGTATCTTTCTCTGATAATTCTATGTCTTTTTTTTCAAGTAAATCTTTTAATTGTAATTCTTTGTGTTTCTCTTTTGTAAATGAATCAAACTGTTCACATATTGTCATTATTTTATCTATCCATTGTTCTTCCATTTCTATATTTTGCTCATTCTTTAAAATATATTTTATGATTTTCATTTTATATAAACAAAGTTTCTACTTCTTACCTTACCATGGTTGATTTGTTCCAATTTTTTAGCTATTACAGCTACACTATGATCCAATGCTTCGTTTTTTATTCGAGCTTCGTGCAATTGTTGTTTTAATTCAGTAAATTGTTCCATTACTATTAAATGATATTCTCGAATAGCATCTTTATAACTTTCATCCACAGAATTTTTCAACTTTTGCATCTCTTTCAGTCTTTAACAATTTAGAAATATTTAAAATCTACTGCTTTATTATTATTATATTTAATTGCATACTAACTTAGCTTTTAAATTAATAACATCAGTAGTTAATTGACTAAGACTTGAAGATAAGTAATTATTCATGTTTCTGTTACGATTTTCTGGATATTCTGACAATTCTCTCCTTAAATATTCATTTTGAGTCTGTAATTCTGCAATAACGGAACTCAGTGCATCAATATGCCGCTCAAAAATTTTTAGTCGACATTTTTTTTACTATACTTTGATTATGAACTTGAATAGTCGGTGAAAGATTCATAGTATGTAAACATTTTTGATTCATATTTATATCCATCATACGATGTTTTAATAATGTTTTATTTCGCTGATGCGTTGACTTTAAACAACTATGATGAGATGTCATGGTATAATCTGATAAGTTACTTACAGATGAACTAATGCAAACCTGTATTACACATTAATTATTCTTTAATTATAATAAATTTCATAAAATCTAATATAGGTACCATATGATACGACTTAGGTAATGGTAAAAGAAATCCATTAGGTGGAGGTCTACTAAATATTCCTCCAATATGTCCCATCTTCAACTGCCTAAATAATTCCGTAAGATATTCGTTTCTTAGGCGACGTTGCGAAGTAACAGAATTTAATTTGTTAAGCCAAATTTTGCATAATTCTGCAGTTTCAATAGATGTTAATGCTAAGACAAAAGGTCTAACACGTGCTAATGTTTCCTTGAAACATTCGTCCAATTTCATAGTTTCTTTTTCATTATACTCACTAATTTTTGGCATGTTCTTTTGTACTTGCTATATTATTTTACTTGCTTAGCCAAAGATATTATTTGAAATTAAGAAAAGACATTTTTTAAACAGATTTTTGCCTTTTAATTCCTCGCCGTTTTTGTTTTTGATTTGGATACAAATACATAGTAGCCATGGATTATTGAAAAAGGTGAAAAATAAATATAAAATATTTTCTTCTGCTTCATATTGAAATTATTTTAGAAATAATTCAAATCGTACAAAACAAAATCACATGTTGTGTAGTTATTACATACATACATATAAGTATTCGAATTCATTATTATTAGTTAATTTTAGTTCTAGTTATACTTCATCTATGTTCAATCTAATATTATGCTTCATAGATATATTAGATCGATATATGCTCTAAAACAAGATTTGTTTAGAACTTTAGTAATAAAAAAGATTCTATGAAATATATTAGGTATTGCATAAAATCTTTTTATAGCTGATCAATATAATTCTTGAAAAATTTTAGACATATTTCTAAATCGAGTACAAAAAATATTTGCACATACTATGAATATAATAAGAAACGTAGATAATTAGAAGCATATGTGGTAAGCACAATAACCACCACAAAAAAATATGGTTATAGTGCTTAATTACATTACAATAATCCTTTCATAGCCAAATATCACAGAACAGCTCACAAAATGACAAAGCTCAGTGACAAAATCATTGTCACAAGTTCATTCCTCCCTAAGCCAAGTATTAAAATAACCATTCCTTCTCTTATAAAATTATATTCTGTACATTATATTCTGTGATATCGTACAGATATCACCTTTTTAATATCTATTTTTACTTCGCTACATCTACTTATAAGATAAAATTTTACAATTTACTAAATATTTTCGTACTTTGTTCATCAGCCTATCGTTTCATATTCGTCACCTGTATTCAAGTTGGTCATTGAGATCTAAAGCAGAAATTCTGCAAAATACTTATTTAAAATACTAAACTCGACTATTTAACTTAATTTGATTCTCTGTAGTTTGTTTTAATTCCATAAGTTTCCCTTTCATGGGCTGAATATTTGTACCTATCCATTCATCAATCATTGATGGAAAGAAAATAGTTTCCATCTGAAATCTTAAATATCCTTCTAAGGAAGATAATTCTAATAATAATCTGTAAAAGATATTTTTGATTTTATAATTGATTTTATATAATTTTTACATTAATGTAAAATAAATCAACTTACTCCGTAAAAGCGGGTACTAAATTTTCTAATTGCATAGGATTTGTATAATTATTTGCGACTTGCCATGGATTCATCCATGTAGATATTCTGTAAAAAAAATATATGATTTTTAACAACAGATATAGAACAGAATATCAGAAGTGAAATATTAGAATCATTTTTTTTTATTTATAACTTACTGTTCACTAGAAACAATATTATGAAATTTAGTTCTAAAATTTAAAAACCATTCTATTCCTACTGCAACTGGCCATCCAGGAAAAAGTAAGTTACTAGGTATTGGTGCAGGTCTAGGTTGTGGTGTTATATGTAAAGGATGATCCATATATCCTAAACATTTTGCCACTTGATTATGAATTTGTTCAGAATAACCATGAAGCCAGACTTTCAAGCATAACGCCAATGATGGTATTGCGGTAGGTAATAATTCGCATAATGTTGCATAATGATCATATCTAAAACAGAAAATTATTTAAAATAAAATAAAATTATTTTTTTAATCATGAATTTAAGAAAGATACCTTGACCATCCTGTAAAGACTGTTCCTCGAAATTCACGAACTTTATTTACATGTATACTCAATTCTTCTAACCATTTCTCATGATTACTTATATGATGTCTTATGATTGGTACATGTTGAGAAGATCCAGTAGCACCTTTAAATGCAGTAGCTGCCCAAATATGAGGAAAAACTGCAGTATATTTATCCCATAAATCTAACAGAAATATTTCTATGTAATTTTATAATGATAAAATATTTACATTTATCAGTAGATAAAATCTTACCATGAGGTAGAGCAAAATTATCTCTAGGATTATAGTGCCAGATCATAGGTTCCACATATTTTCCAATATAATGATCTGAAAGTTGTAGGAAATATTTTTATGAAACAATATGTGACATGGAATAATATGAATAAATTATCGAGATACCGTTCAAAACCTGTAAATCTATTGATCTTAACATATCATCCCATATAATAATCTTTAAATAGGGATATGTTTCTTGTACATATTGTGCAATAGCCAAAACATGTTCCAGGTACAGAGATGGTTTCCCATATTTGCTAGAGGCAGCACGTTTTATACAAACTGAGCAAAGACCTAAATGCCAGACTTCATCTGCACCTATGTGCAAATATTGTATGTCTGGATGAAAACTAACTATTTGTCGAATCAAGGACTTTACCAAAGATAATGTTCTTGGATTAGATGGACAAATTGAGCTTGGAAAGTGCTCCACTTCTCTTAAGGACCTCCATTCATCATGTTTTAAAACAAACTGCAATCATTTTAATATTAATTTCTAATTTTCTAATAAGTTATAATATTATTACAATATTGTTATATTATGTAGTATAAAATACCTCCATATGACCAAATGTTTGTACTAAAGGAACAACAGCTAAACCACAATCTCCTGCAATTTGTAGGATATGTCTGGCTTCTTGAACTGTATATCCACTGATTAAACTGCTTAATCCATTGCTTCCTATATGAGAAAGCTCTCGATTGTATGGGAATGTGTCTTCCCATTCTAACAGAAGTCCAGTGGCACCCCATGTCCTTAATAATGGAAATAACTGCAATATCAATTAAATTTTTATTATTATTCAATTTTTAAAGAAAATTTATAAAGAAAATCAAATAAAAATATATTCAATAAGAAATCACATAAAATAACAACTATATATATAACTATATATATAATTACACACACCACATACACACACATACACACACACACACACACACACACATACTCTCACTCTAAAATTGTAAGGTAATATAACAGCATTTTAGGATGCAAATGTTTATTATAAATGAAAAAATATTGATCGTATGAAAAAACTAATATCGATAACAATTGACATGCTATGAAAAAAGTGGAGTGTCATAACAATTGTCATTTAATGACATTGTTATCAGAAAGAGATACAGAATGTAAACAAAATGATTGTTTATTCGAGTAACAGACCTTTTCAAAATAACAGACTCGCGGTGGGGCACCCTTGAGATCTAAGTGAACTAGCCTACAAAAGAAAGAATAAAGTTCTGTGATGCGACACTTACTCAATTGAAAGTTTTCTGAAAATTTATGTGAACCGATCGGCCGTTTACCTGTGAGAGCCAAACGTCAAGGCGTCCATCTTTCCTCCATTACTACAACGTTAATTGAAGAAACTATAATATTAGATTTTAATTAACATTTCGAGTTAAGGAAATTCTAACAAATATTTTTTGATTCTCTGTTATTCTCTGGATTCTTTTATTTTTTTCTTGCTTATATTTATTACACATTTTTTTTAATTTTATATGCGCAAGTCAAGATTTAAATTTGAATTTTAATTATTTCATGATATAAATATAAAATTTGTTAAAAAAATCTTTTTTAATTTTAATTCAACAAATAATTTATGATAAAAGATAAATTTTGCAATATTTGTATAATATAAATATACATTATTTCGCAATCATGATAGGATTGTATGATAGATGATAAACTTATCTGCATGTTTAATATTTGATATAGGCGATAACAAAATTTTAATCGAAGTATGCAATAATATAAAGGAACGGATTAATTAAAAATAATTTCTCGACGAAATATAACTTTATTTCTGTATACATTTACTTCAGCCTTATACAAAATGTTACAACTGCACATGTAATATGAACTTTCAAACGTATGATACTATTGGTCGTGATAGATCATAAGAATAGACGTCCAGTGCAGTTATTATAATGCATATAATGATAAAATTTTATGACGTCTACTTTTTATTTTTTCTTGTTTATTGATAAATTTCTCCCGAACTTTCTAAATAAAATTAAGCTTTTTGTTGCCTTTATACGTAATTATACATTGAAACCTTCTAGTGATCTTGACAAACAACAGAAGATTATATATTCTTATTACGTACATATAAATGAATCATTTTTGATTAAAATATTAATCAATTGACACAATACAAAATATATATTTAACTCATTCTCTCTTACACATTATTTTCAAAGATTGTTCTAATTTATTTTTGGAACATTACGAATAATTTCGTTAATGAACACAATAATAAAAACCCATCACAAAATAGGGGATTACAGCACAAATTACGAACTACAAGTGTACACAAACACTTGGCACTTTTTGCAGAAATTGCCATAAAGAAAATTAACATAATATTATTAAAAGCTTTATAATCCTTTCTAATTTTTTCATTTGAAATTTCTTAAGGTTTAAAGTTCTCTTCACTTTATTATTTAAAAAAAAAAAAAAATAAAATGGGCAACCAGAAAAAGAAATTTGTCAAATAGTGTTTTTTTTTTATTATACACAGTCGTGCGAAATAATTCGCCTTGTATACGGATAATATTATTATCCTTCTTTTTGCTATATGTTATTTCGTTTGTACAAAATTGAATCACCAAAGGATGATTGACACGACGAATCATATGAATAAAATGGTTTTTTTTTACTGAAGATCGAACTTATTAATTAAAGTACTTTTGAATCGTGTGATCCATCCTTGGTGTCTCATGTATACAAGTGTCAGGGCAGGAATATAATAACAGTCAGCGATATACAAAAATGCGATCGGTCATTTAAAAAAATTGAGCTAATCTTAAAATTACACTTATGTTACTTTAGGACACGAATAGAGAAATCGATCACCATATGTGCCAGCCTAGATTTCGTCAAACGCAATAAACACAACGGTGAAAACAAAAAATGAAAAATAAGAGAACGAAGACAATTCTTTTACATTTTCACTTTTCGATAATTAAAAATATCGTTTAACATCATGACAAATATCTATGCTAACAGAGCGACATCCGGTCGATCTTTACTATTCTTTTAAACAGTGATTAGTTTCTAATTTATTCTTGTTTTTAATCATACGACCAAAGCATAATAATATAGTCATTTATTAAATTCTCTTCTCTAATTTATCGGAAAGTCTCTGTTCATATAACCGGTTAATAACAATATTATTTCAAACGAAAGTTCGAAATTCCATTTTTGAGGTCTTCATTTCTTTAGTCTTATTTCCTCTTGCATAAATTATGCATAGCTTACCGACAAGCGAATTCGCATGAGTCGGATGAAACATATGAAACAGTTTCCAGAAGGGAATTAACTGTTTACAAAGTTCTCTTTTTTAAAATACTAAAGAAAACTTAAATCTATCACCCATGATTCATTGTGATAAATAAATTAATTACACAATCTAACGTTTTACACCTTGGTATTTCGACCATACTCCAAAATTTGTTTATGATAAAAAAGGAGATACCTGAAAAGGAAAGGTTTTTTCACTGGATCCTTGGTAATGATACTGATGGCATTGTGATCAATGCCATAAACTCACCCTTCGCTAGTCAAGACATCTTTTAATCTTGCTCTTGTAATTAAATGATCGTCACATTTAAACCATTGATCTCTTTGCTGCCGTATAAAGGCAGTATAGTGTCCAGTCTCCAAAGAACCTTCATGATTTATTACCGCAAATAGAGAATATCTATTGTCGCTGAATGCCATATCTTCTCCATTCTTTGGTAGTCCATCTATCATTGCACTGTTATTGTTACCATTTCGTCTATGAGACATGAATGGAGTCATGTCTAATTGTTCTGGAAACGATATGAAGGTAGAAATCTTCTTGTCCTGTATACTAGAGTGTTCAAATCGTTTTAAGTGAAAGCTGGCCACAATAGGTAGTTGCTTCATTGTTAATTGCTTAGTGCTTTCTTGATACGTCTGACAATTACTACATTTTATTTTTGCGCTAGATCCCAAATGCTCTGCACGCGTGAACCTTTCCAAACAATCTAATAACGAGGTAGGAGGACCAGAACTATCGGAACCTGATGCACTAGCCGCTGGACCCAAATCCAAAGATATATCCCAAAATGGATCTATCGTCGTAGATACTCCGCTAAAAAATTATTACATCAATATCTTTTATAATATAAACCATAGTATATTATATTGTGCATTTTGATCATACTTGCATGCTTGACAAACTACATCACTTTGAAGTCCACCAGTAAAGATTTGATCAATGATACAATTACAGTGATGTGGATTATCTTTTATTAAGATTGGTGCTGCTTCACAATGCCTATGCAGAACATCGAGTGTAGCAATAAAGAATTCATGAGCATCCTGTTGTTCGTAACCTGCCAAATGTCTAGCATGTGTCCAGATCAAATGGAGAAGCTTGTGAAGCGTCAGTGGTGCTTTGCTACCAGAATAAAATTCCTGAAAAAGATGAGACACTTCACAGACCAGGCAGCGTGTTGGCTGTGGGCAGTGATGACGATCAGCAAGAAAATAATCTCTTAATAGAGGCGTGTGTATGAGTGCCTGTACAATGCAGTTCATGAAACATGTACTACCAAGATTTATAAGTCCTCTTAAACCTATAAATGTAATGTATAGATTAACATATGTTAAATTTTTATTCACAATATAAATAATATTTCACATATATTTTTATGTCTTACCTATGGTAGAATTTTCGACCACACGTCTTCTGCGTGGATGTTTTCTTAATAATTCTGCTTCTATTTGTGTTGGTTCCCATGCTCTGTAAAATTCTCCAAAACTCAATGATTTTGCAGATTCACTCCATTGTGCTTTAGCAACTCCTAACAGTTCTCTATCATATACATAATCTCCACATTGGAAGCACAAAATATTTCCATAACAAAGATCAACAGCTACAATATAAAATATATGTTATAAAAATGTATGTTTTTTAAATATATTACTTAATTCAATTCATATAACATATAATTTATTAATAATTACCTAAAAAATGCTTTTTTGTTTTTGCATGTTCTTGTATATGACCTTTTACATAGCAGCCAAAGAATATACAATGAAGACAAGAATGTAGGCGATCTTTATATGTCTTACATGTATGACATAAACAACTAACAGCCTAAAAATATAGAAATCATATATTTATTGCATCATATAAAAAAGATAAAAAATTGTATAAAACAAAAATGTTCAAAGATTAGATAAAAGAATTGTTCGAGAAAGTTAGTTATCATGTACATTTATTTTATATAAAAAATAATAAAAACATAAAAAATTATCATAATTAAATTATATATAGCCAGATGCAAATATTTACTGATCCAACGGTACTAGAATCATAAATCTATAATACCGTTACTTTACGTGAGTTATAAATCTGGCAAAACTTTATACCGACAGAGTAATTGTATACGGCGGCCATTTTTAAATTCATTTTCGCAGATAAATCGTTCATGAAAACAATATATATTCAGATAAATCATCGTCAATAAATCATCAAAAATATCATTTATATTTATTATCATCGAAATTTATGAAATTCATTTCATTTAATTTTTCTAATATATCATTTTTTCAAAAATTATTTTATAAAAACGTTTTTCAATCGATTTACTTCGCATCATAGAAATATCTCAAAGATGATATAAATATTTGAAGAAGAATGGAAAAATATGATTTTGTTTAATCATTGATTAATAAAATAAGCATTAAATTTTGTAATATTTTCAAAATACTACTGTTATATTAAACAAAATACAAAAAAAATTATACATATAAATACAATAATAAAATATTAAATTCGTTGTTAACAAATCATGTCTGTACACAAAATTAAATACGTGAAAAGATAAAAAACATTACTTTTAAAATACAGTAAACAATACATATATGCGCATTTACAGATGTAGTTGTCATTCTGGCTAGAATTTGCATAGCCTATGACTTAAGATCGCGAGTAGCATTACGAACGACAAAGAAAGAGAATGATTTCGTGACTTAAGAAATTGCGAAAATTTTTGGCAATTTCTCATTTTTTCATATCGCTTATTTTATTATTAATTAAACGAATACAATACGTAAAATAAGATTATATAATAGAAAATGAAAAATAAATAAAATAGTATGATGTAGAAAGCAGAAGTGAAAACGAAAGAAAGAGAGAGACAAAGACAGAACCTTGACCACGAATCACGTAAGAAAAAGATAGTCACACCTTTCTTACGCGTGCTTCGGTCGACGTGCTGGTCACAAAATAGGAGTGTATCACTTTGTACGGCTGGATACCCTTGGCTGCTTTGAAATTATTCAAGTGTATGCAGCCATGGTCGCTCATCTCAGGTTGGCGTGAGCGACGCTGCCGTGTCTCCTTCTCTTCACCCTGATAGTAACCGTGCACAAACTTTGATGCTCGCCGGTCTTCTTCAAAGCTAACCACCGGGACGATGACCACGTCGAACAAAGATCTAACCACCGACACGACGCAGACAATAGATCGCCGACGACGGGCACGATTACGTGGAGCAGTTGCTTGACGGCGGCAGCAGCAGCGACGACGACGATGAAGACGACGGAGGCTACTCTGTGCGGGGCGTAGCACGCTGGCCTTGGTAGGAGCGCGCGTGTCGTTGACATGGAAAACCGCGTGAGCCTTGGAAAAAAAGAGCGCAAGGGTTGCCCGTGCAGTATCGTAGTCAGTCGATTGCTGTCACACCGATCTGTCCCTCGATGGTTAAGGACAGATAGTTGAGGGGAAGAGAGGAGAGGCAAGAGGATTAAGATACAAACGCGCAACCGAAAGAAACAAATTTGATATTTCTTTTCAGTAGCAAAAATGGGTAAATCACTAATGTTTAAACGCTTTAAGTTTTTCTGGGGAAAACACCACTTTAATTTTTACAAGTTTCCGTACCCACGTTTTTGACACACGGGTGCTCACAGACACCAACCGGTCACTGCAAGCGCCGCCGGTACAAGCCAGCCCCTCTTTACCCCCACCATCAATTGTAGAACGTTCTCAGGGACGACATTTTTAGGGTGCTAAAAACTTTTTAATTTTTAATTCTTATTTCATTTTTCATCTTTAAATGAAATTATAGAAAATATAATGTATTATAGATGCTCAATAATTATTAAATTGAGAATATATCAATGAAGTTTAATGAGATTTCATAATATTACTTAACTTTATAAAATGTTTTATGATTGGTGGATTATATATGATTTCGAGAATCGAAATTTGGAATAATCGGATATCGAAACAACAGATTTCTACCAATAAAGTTATTTACTTTTATATAATAACTCGCGATTGGTTGTCAAGATTTATCTTTTTGAATTTTACGATTTAAAATCATCTATCGTTTTAAACAATCATTTTCGTTAAGTGCTTCATAAAGTAAAAAATTGATTTAGAGAAGATTTTTACTAAAATTAATTGAGAAATAGTATAAAAAAAGACAAAATGCAAGTAAGTCAATATAATATATTTATTATCGTATCATTATGTTGTGTTAATAAATATATATGTAAATAACTTGCAATAGTATTAATGATAGTAAAATTCTATTTTTCATGATTCTTGATAAAAAAAGATTTTAGAAATTTAATAGTTTATAAGAAAAGTTATTTTATTTTGATATATTTTTTATAATTTGATATTTGTAAAATGTAAAAAATTATTCTAAATTTCTTGCTTTTATATTCTAATTCTTGCTTTTTAGGACTATAAAATTGCATACGTTCCTGAAGTCTTCGCTTTCCTAACCCCTCTTACCCCAAAGTAACAGCTGCGCACAGTATAAGTATATACATCCCTTTGAAATCACATTCCCAGTAGCTTGCAAAAGATCATTAACTGATAATTCCTTCATTGTGTGACACATTCAGATTTAATGCTATTTTATAGCTTTATTGTCTATCAATGATGCTATACCAATCAGATAAAATTTTAATCAAATCTTAGTTTTCTAACCTCAAACATGATCAATAATTTATAATCTCTTAATTTATAATCTCTTACGATTATTTTTTTTTAGAAAATATTTATTTTTTCTATTAAAAATATTTTATAGATTTTTTTAAAAGATTTTTTATAAAAAAAATAATTTTTATAAATATATTATTAAATTAATATTTTAATTATTTTTAAAAAAAACATATATTAATTAAATATTATAAAAAAAGAAATAATTTAATATTCAATATTGTTAATTTTTTTTGCATGTTTTTATCTTAAAAATTTTCTTTATTTCGATTTCATATCTACTTTTATCGATTGTACC